TGATTGAATCAGCTATTAGATAAAAGCACCAAAAAGCCATGCTGAAGTGCCCCATGCATATAGACACTGTGGAGAGCCAGGGTGAAGTAATGCGTTGCTTCTTCATGTAAAGCGCATATTTTTTGTTTTGATTTGTTTTGTTTTTAACGTCTGTAAGCAGCCTATTATGGTGTGGTGGTTAGGAAGTAGGTATACTCTTATTCTGAAGACTGATGTTTAAATTGCAGAATTATTTGGGCCCAGGGGCCACATAAGGAGTTTTGGTAAGTTCTTGTGGGCCAGGTCAACACCCCCCCCCTGCCACAACAAATCACCAAAACTCTCTCTGTGAGATGGGGCCATGGGTGGACAGGGAGCAGTGTTCAGGAGCTAGGTGGGGCAGGGTCATGGGGTGGCCCTTGCTCTTTTGGGGAGAGGCATGCGTGCATGTGGATGGAAGGGAGCTGGAAACTGGAGCAGCAGCTCCATGTGCTGGGGTAGGAGCCACCCAGCTGTAGCTTCCTCCCGGCCTGGAGCAGGAGCAGGAGGAGGAGCCACCCCAGGAGGTGAGGGGAGCCAAGCAGCAGACACACCAGGAGCAACCTGTCAGAAGCTGTGCACTCTGGCTGGAGCTGGTCCAGTGGGCATGGGCTAGAGTTTAGTGCAGGCTGCCCTGGGTGGGTCCCAGCCCCATGCAGAGCACCAAGGGGGCAACTGCAAGCCAGATCCAATCAATTGGCAGGCACCCCCCTGCAGGCTGGATCCAATCAGTTGGCAGGCCAGATCTGGCCCGCAGGCCATATTTGGCACCCCCCTATACTACAGGATCATTTAGCTTCTCCCAGTGAAAACCCTGGTGCACCTCCAGACTTGCTTTCCCACTGTGGCAATAGAAAACCTTATGTGTGCAAGCAATGAGGGAATCAGCTACAGGAAATGCAAAATTCCATAACTCAGGACTGCACATTATACACCTCAGGATTATAATCTCATTATAGATGATCTCAGGATACATCCTCTCCATAACTTTCTAGCTGGCCCGACTGAATCTAGTACTTTGGGCATAGCTTCAAACAGAAAGTCCCTCTACCCAGTGTATTCTGTTAAAAGATAGGTAGAGCACTTTCTTTGAAAACAGGAGTAATGTGTTTTAATTCCCTTAGTTTAAGGAGGATCTAGAATCCAGGCTGAAACCACCAGGTTACTGAGCAGAAGGTGCTTGGCACCTTCACCAATCCGTTAAACCCCCCAGAAGCAGAACTAAGCATAATGGATTACAAGCAAACAAAGATTTAATATTTCCTATGAGCTACCTGTAAGCATCTCCAAGCTTTTGAAATTGTCCTCCCCTTGTTGTCTGTATACTCCCCTACACACTTAAACTCATTAAAATAAGTTCAGTCTCCTAGGCTGCTACCCCTGAATGAAGGCATTTCCAAGCCCAAACTGAATCTGTCTCAAAATGCATCCCAGAACTCTAAAGTTCCTTAACTGTTTTAAAACCTCTAGGGAAAAAAAAGCAATGTGCAGAACTCCTGGACAGCCTTCCAGGTACTGTCCAGTATAAATGTTAGGTGTTGGAACCTTGCCCAGGCCTCCGACTAATAGGAGTGCTTCCTCCAGTGCTTAAATCCAGCTACCAGTGCTAGTACCTCCTGCCAGTGTTCAGGACATATGGACCACTGTGTTTGCTTGTTGTGCAGAAGTACTGGAAGAAGAGTTCCAAGAGATTTTCCCTCCTTTAAGTCTCAATGTAAAGCTAGTTAAAGACACATTACGTCAATGGATCATATTGCTAGATCTATACTCTTGCCATCACTTTGGAGAAAAGTTATGTGTCCAATACTTAAGCAGCCTTAACACACTTCCTTTATTATCTAAATACTTGAAACCCCAGCCCATGGACTTACATTTGCTTTTTTGCTAGGACATGCAATGCATCCTCTCTCACCTAAGTGTGACTTGTTCTCATTATTACATATGTGATTACAGTAACGATTTGTAAGTACACAGGCTCATTTCTTTGCAAATTCAGCTCAAGTGGATAACATTTTGCTAACATCCTAATAACATCTGGGAACTGGGTATTACAAAAGATCAAAACATGAAAGTCAGGTTATATAATAGAGCTTTCATTACAATATCTTCCTTAGCCATTAGTAATCAAATGGATGAAGATAATGAATAGAAGTTTTCTCCAGATCTATTCATTAGAAATGGACCAGGAGAAAAGAAAGGACAGCAAAGGTGCTTCCTGCTATTGAATTAAATTAATTCTGAACATTGGAGCTCCAGACAGTTAAAAGAGCTAAATTTTCCTCTAAGTTCTTTACAGTGGATTTCTTTAACAGTATCCCTTAATAGCAGGATTGAAATTTCCATTGATATGGAAAAGTTTGTGAACCTATGTAAAACAGAAGATGGATATAAAGAAATGGCTTTAGGATTTGAGAAGATTTTTCTATTAAAAATACTAAAAATTGTACCTTGTAAGTAATAATACCTAACTAGTGTAAGGAGAGCGCCTACTGAAATTTTTATTATGGCAAAACTTCCATAATTTCATTAAAAAAATAGGATCTGTCTTAGGGGATGGTGTGAGTGGTGCCTCCCATTGGTGTCCCTCAGGGAGCAGGCAAGAGAGCAACAGGAGGATGTGGCAAGACTCTGAAGCATCCTCTGCCCTGAGGACTTCATCAGTTCAGTGCTGAAGGAGACCCCTAGGACTGCAGAGGTAGGACTGCCACAGGCAGTCCTAAAGAAAGAACAGGACGTGGACTCCCAGGAAGGTGAAAGTTGGAAGCTTGTGACCTTTAGCAGCAAGCACAAGTCTTCATCTCCACCTGCAGTGGCTTGCACAGAGAACAGATATGGAGTCCTAGCAACAGAGGAGGAAATGTATGTTCCATTGGTGGAAGAGGCCAGGCATCCCCAAGTTTGGAAGGATCAAGACTCCTGTCATCAAAAGGAAGAAATAGGTGATGGCTGGAGGCTCCCTTCTGCGAGGGGGTGGAGGCATCCATCTGTTGGCTTGATCTGCGCTCTCTGGAGGTCAGCTGCTTGCCTGGAGCCTGGATCCAAGATGTCACTGAAGGATTACTGAGACTCATCTGGCCCTCCTACTACTACCCCATGCTGCACATCCACAGGGTGCTAATGATATTGCCAAGGGATGACCCTGAGCAGATCAAAAGTGCCTACAGGGCTCTGGGTGTGGGGGTTCTCTCAATCTTTCTGGTCAGGAGGAAGGGCCTGGGTGGGAGTGGACACATCCTGATGATCAATTCATGGCTGCAGTGATGGTGTCATCACCAGGGCTTTGGCTTCTTTGATCATGGGATGTTGTTCCAGGAAGAAGGATACCTAGGAAGAGATGGGATCTACCTGATGAAGAAAGGGAAGAGGATCTTCACAGACAGGCTCACTAACCTGGTGAGGAGGGCTTTAAACTATGTTCACTGGAATACAGACCAAAGCCCCATGGTAAGTGGAGAGGTGGGTGAAGTAAAGGAAGCACAATCAGGAAGGGGCAAAAGAGGAGGCCTTCCTATTCTTCCTGAGGAAACAGGGCAATTGGCTAGTTACCTTAGGTGTCTGTACATGAATACACAGAGCCTGGGAAACAAGCAGGAAGACTTGGAAGTCCTCACACTGTCATGAAACTATGATGCGATTGGAATAACAGACTTGGTAGGATAGCTCACATGACTGGAGCACTTGGTAGGATTGCTAACATGACAAAGGAGCTAACTTGTGGCCAGTCACTATACCGGCCCGCCCCTCTGTCTAGGGCAGTCTTCCCAGTCTCACCTGTCATGACTTATAATAAACTTGATGTAAAATGCAAGAGGCTGCCCATTTATGCCCCAATGCCTAGGGCATTATACACGGCTTTGACCTACCCTATACTGTGTCCCATGCCTCACAGATGGCATCCACTATGTGGCTTCAGCCCCACACTGGGCCCCAAAGTCTGGTGTTTGGACCCTGACTAGATCCTTCCTAATCAGGCGGACTCAATCACCACTATCATGCAGGACTGTCAGCTCCCTAGACCTCTTTTCCTCTTGGGCATGGCTCCCTTCTTGGACCTTTGGTCACACAGGCCCTGGCCCACCTCCAGGCCAATCAGAACCCCAGGCCCCCTAGCTCTGAGCATCCCTCATGATGATTACTTTAGCCCTTTTGACCATCCTGGTCCTGGCTCCAGCATGACCAGTTAAGGGTTTTGCCTAGGCTCTTGCACTGCTCACCCACTCCCTCTCACATGGGTCCACCTTCTCAGGCCCTTGCCTGTGCCTACTACCATGTAACCCACCAGGATGTGGGGGCTGGGACTGTAAGGCACCCCCTACTTGCCTTTCACTAGGGAGGCAACTGGTGTGGCATTTCCTGGGGACCACCCCACCACGGGCAGACCCAACACACCATCTTACCCTTGTAGGATGTAGTTTTCCATCATTCCCCAGGACCAGGAACATCCTATCAATCCCCATAACTCCTGAGCAGCCACTCAGCTGGGTGACACCCTTCAGCTGCTTGCAGCAAACTGCTGCCTGGATCTAAAATGGAGGCTGCTTAGCCCCCTCCTCCAATCCCAGAGCCCTCCTGTGGTGATGTGACTACCTCATTACCTTGACACACACCTGCTGACTGCCCCAATGCCTGTTCTGGCCCTTAAAGTGGCAGACACAAAAGGTGCTTAGCCACAGATGGGTATCAACTGTTCAGGAAGGATAGGCAAGGGGACAAGAGGAGGAGGAATTGCACTTTATGTAAAAGACCTGCATGATTGCTCAGAGCTCCAGTGTGAAACTGGAGATAGCCCTGTTAAAAGTCTCTGGGTTAGGGTTAGGGGGCAAGCAACAAGGGTGATGTTGTGGTGGGTGTCTGCTGTAGACCACCAGACCAGGAGGATGAAGTGGATGAGGTTTAAACAGTTAGTGGAAGTTTCCTGATCACAGGCCCTGGTTCTCATGGGAGAATTCAGTCACCCTGACATCTTTCAGGAGGACAATACAGCAGAGCACAGGCAATCCAGGACATTTTTGGAGGGTGCTGGGAAACACTTTCTGGTGCAAGTGTTGGCAAAACCAACTAGGGGCCATGTTCTTCTTGAACTGCTGCTCACAAACAGGGAAGAATAGATATGGAACATACAAGTGGATGGCAACTTGGGCAGCAGTGACCATGAGATGACTGAGTTCAGGGGAAAGGAAGGAAGGCAAGCAGCAGAGTAAGAAAAGCAGAAGTTAACTCACTCAGGGAACTGATGGGCAGGATTCCCTGGGAGGCCTGTCTGAAGGGGAAAGGAGTCCAGGAGAGCTGGTTGTACTCGAAATAAACCTTACTCAGGGTGCAGGAACAAACCATCCTGATATGCAGGATGACTAGCAAGTATGGCAGAAGATCAGCTTTGCTTATCAGGGAACTCTTCAGTAAGCTAAAACACAAAACAGAAGCTTAAAGAAGTGGAAATTTGGACAAATGACTAAGGAGGAGTATAAAAGCATTGCTCAGGCATGGAGGGATAAAATTAGGAAGGCCAAAGTGCAGCTGGAGTTGCTGCTAGCAAGGGATGTGAAGGGTAAAAGGAAAGGTTTCTACAAGAGGAATATCAAGGAAAGTTTAGGTCCCTTACTGAAAGGGGAAGGAACCTAGTGGCACATGATGTGGAAAAGGCTGAAGTACTCAATGCCTTTTTTAATCTCAATCTGCACAGGCAAGGTCAGCTTCCAGACTACTGCACCTGGCAGCACAGTTTGGGGAGTATGTGAGCAGCTGACAGTGGCAAAAGAACAGGTTATGTACTATTTTAAAAATCTGGATGTGTACAGCTCCATGGACCTGGATGCAATGCACTCACTGGTGCTGTGGGAGTTGGCAGTTGTGATTTCCGGGAACTACAGCCTCACCTCAGTCCCTGGAAAAATCATGGAGCAGGCCCTCAAGGAATTTATTTCTAAGGACTTGGAGGAGAAGGTGATTAGGAACAGTGAGAATGGATTCACCAAGGACAAGTCATGCCTGACCAACCTGATTGCCTTCTATGAGGAGATGACTGGCTGGTATCAAGTGGAGTGTGGAGATAGGAGATTAGTTTGACATAAGCAGGCAAGGTTCTTTGGGTAGATGTGATATATTTTATTAGACAAACTAAATAGATGGAAAAAAACATTCTTTGCAAGCTTTTGGGCACAAACACCCTTCCTCAGATATAGGGAGACTCTGCTGGTGTTATGTATTTTCCAAAGTAGAAAAGAGACATAATGCATTTAGTTTGACATAATGCATTTAGACTTCCAAAAGGTTACTGGATAATGTCCTGCTCTTAAAGCTGCTAATGAAGATAAGTAATCATGGGGTGAGAGTCAAATTATTGTTGTAGATCAAAAACTGGCAAGGAGATAGAAACAAAAAGTAGGTTTAAATGATAAATTTTCATTGTGGTCTCATAATGTTATGGTAGGTCCTATTTTAATTTACTTATTAATGGGGAAAGTTAACAAATAGTAATGGAGATTACTTGCAGATTCACAAGGTTATTTTTAGTTAGTCAGGACTAGAGAGGCCTGAAGGACTTCAGAGAAACTAAAACAATCTGAATTAATAAGCAAGACTATGACCAGTGAAATTTAGTATAAATACATTTGAATATAGTGCACATTGGAAGGAAAACACTAAAATTCTCATACATCTTTCAGGGTTCAAATTTAATCATGTCAAGAAATCTCAGCCTAAGATCCCAATCTAAGTATCTCTACAGCCATGCCAACATAGTCCACAAGTTAATGTGCAGCTGTAGTCAAGAACACTAGCCAAGTATTAAAATAATACTAATAAAGAACAATTAATATTGTACAAAGAACATTAATGTCTTTATAAAAATCAGGGGTGTAATTATATGTAGAATATTGTAAGATGTTAACACTCTCTCATAAAAGATGGTTCAGCACTATAATAGGTTTAAAAAAAGAATGACAAGAATGGTCAAAAACCTGAAAAATGCTTACATTCACAGGAAGAAAAAAGATTATCTTGTAAAGAAGAAAAGAAGAGTGGACATTGTAAGAGTATTTAAAAGAAAATAATTTATGTTGTCTGCCTGCGCCTCATGCATGACAACAAGGAAATATCCAAGGGAACTTCAAAAGCAATAACAATAAATACTTTTTTTGAGACAAAGTGCAAATTAAACTCATTGGTTCAGGAAGCTAAGGACCTAATAAAATTCATAAAGAGATGTTTGAAGATACCCATTTCCTCATTCCTTTCCTCTACCTGAAAGAGAGAGAGAGAGAGAGAGAGAGAACAGCCAAAAGCTGAGTATTCATAGATTCATAGGTTCATAGATGTAGGGTCAGAGGGGACCTGAGCAAATCATCAAATCTGATCCCTTGCCCTGGGCAGCAATGAATACTGGGGTCATATGACCCCCCACTAAATTAAGCTCATATGACCCCAGTTAGGTAGTTTTCTAGCCTCCTTT